GTTGTTACACCGCCAACTCAGTACAAAAATTAAAAAAAACTACACAATGTAACCGAGTACTTTACAAGATTCTGTTCTCTTATAAAGAATTTAAATGAAATTTGTCTTCAACGATACAATTGAGTACAAAAATGTATGGTCGGAAGCAGTTGTTTTTGCGAGCAGCAAGTGTTTCGAAAAATAAATGACATCGTGGCCAATAATTTATGGTGTCATGGATTTATATGTTGTGACTTAAAGCTTTTAATAAAGTCCGTTTACAATTTATAACATCTGTCCTGTGTGTCTTTTACATCTGCGCATAATTTGTGTTTTCTCATTAACCTACTATTAATAGATAGCGCTTGCTTATATTTCTCTGAATGAATTGTTACTTGATATTGTGAAGCTTTCGAGGTACAAGCTATGGACGTGACTCGTTAGTCCTTTCTGCTGTCTAATTATTTTTGAGTGATTTGAAAGCGGTAATAAAATAAAATGAATATTCCAGAGCCAAGCCTGTTTACTTCAAGTGGGATTTGAACCTACGACTACCATTATGATAAATATTATTCACAAAATATTACCAGTGTACCTCCATAAAAACCTCTTTAATCAGTTTATAAAACCAAAGAGATATTAAATTCTCTAAAATATTCAATGTAACATAACTCTCCAGCACATAAACTATTTCTGTACAAAAAACTATGTTTTTTTTTATGTTAGGACATTAACACACAGCGCCATCTAGTTCCATGGTAAGCTACAAGGCTTGTGTTATGGATACCAGATAGTTGATACACTACACATTATATAACTTTAAATACATACATATTATAAATAAAAACACCCATGACTGGAGTACAAACATTCGTGCTCATCACACAAACGAATGCCCTTAGCGGGACTCGAACCCGCGACCGCTGACACAGCAAGTAATGTCACTACCAACTGAGCCAAAACGTGTCGTCTATGACCATATTTCGTTATTTCATGCAAAAAATCCGACAAATTTTGCATCAATCTAAATTCTTTGTACCTACAATACAACCTATTGTAGCTAAGTCAAAAACATTCAAAAACAACATGACAAATGGCAAAATCAATTTCAAATTTCATCTATCACCGCAATGTCCAACAAAGTTCATACAAAAGGGCGGTCAGGCGACCACCAAACAATAGACTTAGCCAGTCTCTTTTAAAACCACAGTACGCAAACATCAACACTCACATCGGGATAGTGGAGTAATGGAGCGTATATACGCCAGATTTATGACTTCGCTTAAAGCACTTCGGAGTTGAAATATTCATTTTGCACCAAGTGTATGAGAAGCAGAGTGTGAGGATATTAGTTTCGCTTGCAAATGTTTCAAAACAAACCGATTTATTTTAGACTCAGACCTAAGAATTATGTAGATTGTAAACGGATCCTGCCAAAAAATGTTAAAGTCACAAATAGTAGTGGGTTTTTATTGTTTATGTTACTATTCTCGATTTTGCCATACATTTCATTTACTTTCTTTAAAGAGTAAAGGAAATTTTATATATGTATTAGTTTGTTTATTTGAAAAAAAAATATCAATAACAATGACATAATTTGCTATATTCTTTTTGATTTCTTTAGCATTACTTATCTTCCCCTTGAAATATATGTATTTAGCATAATATTAGCTTCTAAAATAGCTAACACAATTCGTTATCGATTCCATTAATATTTGTATAGTGTTAAAAAACGTTTAACATTATTAAAATTTTAGTTTGAACGCTCTTATAATAATCGTCGTTCTATGATCACGTCTATGATGTCTGTTTAAAATTTACTATGTATTTGATGGTTACAGTGGAATAGTAACAAGGAAATTGCTTTGGAACGGATTTAGCTCATTTCTGGCTTGATTTTGTACAATTTTTGAATTCAATTTTACATAAAGAATGTTCTGGATACAACGAATAACTAAAAATGTCTGTGTGTAAAATTTCTTATTTATTTGGCTACTTAGATGTAAAAAAAAATTTAAATGATTGCTTAGTAAATCAAAACAGAGTTGTTGGTGAATGTTATGTACACTAGTTATTGATATACATATCAGTGTGTGTTACTTTTCAATTTTCTTAATATGTTGTGTGTTAATGTTAAATATGCATATTGTAAGTGTACTTATAAAATAAATAAATAAAAACAGTAATATAATAAGCAATATAAACAGCAATATTTTTATTTCCTATTAAATATCTTCTTATTAGCTTGCGGCTCCATTTTTTATAATTGTTTTAATTTTAAGTGTCTAAATGTTAGATATCCTTTATACAATCTTGTATACAAGAAGATGATTCCAAATGGGACTGGTGCAGGTGTTCAAACAAACAAAAAGATGTGTTTAGCTTCATAATATTATATTAGTATACATTATAATATTTTTAATTTTTTAGATAATTAAACATTTTAAAAAACCCCCTACGCATATTAATTGTCATTTAATGATTACACTGGCATGCGTGAAGCACTTAATCGAATAATCATACGCCAAAATACCTTACATCATTTTGGAAAAAAGCTGATACTCTTACACTGCTGGGCCGACATTAACCAAAATAGCTAAGAACCACCGCAAGGAAACTGGCTTTCAAATGAAAAAAACCGCATCGAAATCGGTCCATCCGTTTTAGAGCTACGATGCCACATACAGACACTTACACAGACAGACAGAAATCAACGTTAAACTTATTACAACCCTATTTTTGCGTCAGGGGTTAAAAATGAAACATATTTCTGAACTCTGTAGCAGATGTTCGTAGGTAAAATTCAATATTCTTAACCAAAAGCCGATATTCTGGAACGCGGCAAAACAGCGGTTAATTTTTTAATGAACGACAATTATCCCTCGTGGGAGGGAACGTGCTCTATATTATATAATAGCTCTCGTTACTTTTCATTAAGATTGACGTGGGAAGGCATTTACTTGCACAATCAATAAGCAGGCGGCGATCAAATTTCAATTTCTTTATTAATTTAATGTGATCTAATTTTTATAATTGGCAGCCAATTTACGATTTTTTCCTTCAATTAACTAATACCTAGTAATATTTTTTTATTTTTTATATTTTAACTGACTTTAAAAAGGAGGGTGTGTATATTTTTGGTATATCATGCTTTATATTTACCAGTTGTAAACCGATTATTTGATCTATAAATTATCTATAAAAACATTAGGAAAAATCAGGTCTTCTAGAAGTGAAACAGCTACTTTTAAAGTGATTTTTAAATCATTTTTTTAACCTTCTAAGTTACAGAATAACTACATTTATAGTATCTAGTATTCAGAATAAATGATCTATTTTTTATAATATATTTGGAAGCTTATAATACGAGTATATATGATATTTTGTTTGTTTGAACGTGGACAAGAACTCAGGAACTACTAATCCAATTTGAAAAATTCTTTTTGTAATTATGGTCCATTTATTAAAGAAGAATCCAAAATTCACGTTTATACGACCAGCAGATAGCTGGTTATCCGGGTAAACATATAGGATACTTTTTACTGCGGGAAAATATCTCATCTCTGAGAAATCTATTCTAAACGTTAAAACATAACTAGGGACTAACCCGATCGAAGCGATACCCTCGCTTCGATCGGGTTAGTCCCTAGTTATGTTCGCTAGTATTATATAAAAATAATCAAACACACCAGGCCGCATAAAGCTTATAACTTCCAATATATCATTACGCAATACAGTCCGTATTGTACGAATAACAATTATTCAATTACTATGCTTTCATACAAAGATATCACATGTCGTATAAATTGATATTGACGTTTGATCTCCATACCATGGATTATTTTTTTCCCTATTAATTTTAACACATGCGGGTACTTAACTAATTACAACGCTAGTATTATCATATTCTGTGATTAAATTATTACAATTGATACCAGTTTTGTTGCTTGATCTTTGTGTGTCATTGCTTCTTGAACCGATTTTAGTTTAAACTTATAATTTATAACCTGACTAAATAAATATATAGATGGAGCCTGCGAAAAAAATGTCATATAAAAAATAAGTAACGTAATTTTGCTGTTTATGCCACCATTTCCGATTTTACCATACATATTGTTTGCTTACTTTAAAGGGTAATGGATATTTTATAGATATTTGTGGTTAATTCACAATATAATTGATAAATATAAATATAACAATATAAATGATAAATTTAAAATAAACCTAAAATTCAATTAATGTTGGTATTTTTACATTATGACTGTTGTAGGGAAAATCTATATATAAATAGGCAATAGCAATTAAGTATTTTTTTCTCCTCTGTTTGTCAACCGATTATCTTTTTGTTGTTTCGTAGCTATTGACGAGTATTAGTGTTGTCATTAAAAAATATCACACTTTTATTTATTTTTTTAACGTTGGGAAATGCATTTACGCACGAGGTGTGGGACTCACCGGCGAAGGCAGTACTAACCACTAAAACCCAACAAAGCCTTCCCCCGTCTTAATGTGGCGTCGCAGGATCGCTTACGCATTCAACTACTCGGCCCCGACGGTAGATCTGCCGAAGCAGACCACAACAACCACGGGGTTGCTCCAAGGTCCACTCTGCTATCAGAGAAGTACCAGGAGCAACCCGCATGGTACACCGCCCTCCGAAGACGGCCGCCTCCCACCGCCCACCGAAGCGGGCCACCTCCCTGTGCGTTTCTTGGCTTCGCGCCCGGCTGTATTGCCGGGCACTACTGATCCCCCCCCCACGACAAGGTGAACGCACGTTTTGGGGAAATATCGAACACAACATTAATAATCTTAAATCAAGTTCAATTGTTGATATAATTATGCATGAAATAACAATTTCTTAACATCTTGTCAAATAAAGCTCTATGTAACCCATAAAATACAATATACCTTTAAAAATATCATAAAACCAACAAACCAACGTTTGCATTTACATTATTAGTGATTGTTTCTATTGTAATTGGTAAATAGACTTAAAATATATTTTTTTCTTTTAACAGATCTCAAAAAGCAGTTCATCGCATCACCTTCACCCACATCAGTGGAAGCTGGTTCCGCTGCATCTCTGCGTTGCTCTCCACCAACGGCCGCGCCACCACCTAGAGTGTCGTGGCTCAAACATGGAATACCATTACAACAAGACCATAATGTACTGATATCTGCTGAAGGAAATCTGCTCATATCTAGAGCTACTTTACAGGTTAGTTAATAAAATAAATATAAATAAATATGTTAGGGACATTAACACACAGCGCAATCCAGTTCCATAGTAAGCTACGAGGCTTGTGTTATGGATACCAGATAGTTGATACACTACACATACATAACTTTTAAATACATACATATTATAAATATAAACACCTATGACTGGGGTACAAGCATTCGTGCCTATCACACAAATGAATGCCCCCAGCGGGACTCGAACCCGCGACCGTTGGCGCAGCAAGTCGGGTCACTACAAGCTGAGCCAAACATGTCGTCGTTAATATATAATTATTTTATAAAATTCTAAAACTCATTACGACACGTATAGGCAATGGTAGCCCAGTGGTAACGCGTTTGCTTGGGAAACCACGTGAAGCGAGTTCAAAGGCCAGCCAGGCCGGCCGGGTGAAGAAAGGGACGTGGGAGTTAAAAAAGGGTTGAATACATACTCTTTGAGAGGCAACACACAGAAATATGATAGCTCTAGATAGGTACATGATTTGGTAAAAAATGGCTACTTATATTTATATTCATAACATAAGGGTCAATTTAGTTAGTTTTTTTTTGTGTGGGCTAATCACAAGAACTACCAGTAAGATTGGTCAATTTTTCTTTTTGACTTTAATATTAAGTTGAGTATATAGGCTATTTAAAAGCTACAACGATCAGAGGAATTATATGTATATAAATAAGCTAGTGGATATAAATAAGTTAGTGGAGTTTCCTAAAAGCTAGTCTATACATAATAAAACTCTGAGTTGAATCTGTACATTAAATATCTTTTGGAAAATCTTATTGAAATAGTCATTATTATCGATACAGAGGCCGGATCTATAGTTTTCATAATTATTGTCTGTCTGTCTTGGAACGCATCACAAGAAAACCACAAGACAGATTTTGATGAAATTTGGTATTATGATAGCTGGTTATCCGAGTCAACATCTAAGATACTTTTTACTGCGGGAAAATATCTAATAGAAATCTGGACTTACCGTTAAACCTAGGGATGAACCCAAGCAGAGCATGGATGAGTCGCTAGTTTACTTACAAAAATATTAAGATCATATCAAGAAGGCGCTTCAATTGATACTACAGTAAACACACGTAATAACATTTTGCATACGTTTTACATTTACACGATTTTCTGGAAACATTATATTGAATTGCAAAGCAACTTACAACGTTGCTTATTTAACTCGCTTTTCTGCTAAATACGAATACATTTACATACATACATTCAAATTACATTCATTCAAAAGATTGATTGTTGTACGCTTTGTCTATAAAAAGATGAAATCTTTACTAAAATAAAGGCGGAAAATTGAGTGTTTTTAAATGCATATTAATAAATTGTACAAGTGTTCACAAATACATACATACTTCTTCTTCTCCCTGCCCATTTCCCAATCACTTAGGGTCGGTGCGGTACATCTTCTGTACTGCTGATAGGATTTGGCAAAAGTTTTACGACCGGCCGCCTGCCTGATGTCAACCCTCCTTAGGAATACATACATACATACATACATACATACATACATACATACATACATATAAATACATACATACATATTTCTATAATATACCATTCTTACTTTAGTCAAGTCTCTATCGTAGCTAGCGTATCGTATAGTAAATTTTTGCAGCAAATATCATTATTATTAAGCAAAAGTGTACCTGCTTTATAAAATATCTTATCTACTTGTTACATATTAATTGGATACTATCCAATATTTGCTTCCAATTACATCAAAAATACTTCACCCTTAAGAAAAATACTTTTCTTGATAATTGGAAATTGCTTTGGGGCCTAAAAGAATTATGACGGATTGTAATCAAACGACAAAAATAACTCATATAATTAGATTATATCAAAAGTTATCGTATTCTTTTTAAATAACTCGATTATTTTTTAGAATATCACAATGTTAGATTCTGGCCTTCCTTCAATACGGAGTATATCTTCTATATATCTGAGAGAACTTAACTAGTTTAGTTAAGTTCTCTCAGATATATAGGTTCCATTTTATCGTATTAGCTAGTGATGAACAATGATAAAAGTGATATTAGTACACGAAATTTTTAAAAGAGTAATATTCGGGATTTGAACCCACAACACGTGTTTTTTTAAGCGAATCCATTATCAATATGCTACGACAGCCCCAATCTCATAATAAATGCGAAAGTTTGGATGGATGGATGTTTGTTACTCAGTCACTCCAGAACGGCTGAACGGATCTGGATGAAATTTGGCATGGAAATAGATTAATTATAGTCCGGAATAGAATATATGTTACCTTTTTTCTCGGAAAAATTTACAGTTCTCGTGGATAGATTTGTCTTGGTTTTTCACAGAGCAAGGGATCGACTATCTATTACTTACTAACCGTTCAATCATAAATGTAATACTTCATAAATATGATACTTTAATGTTTTCCGAATGAAATATATTCTATTGTTGACAAGAGAGTGTAAAATATGAATTTATTGAGTCAAATTCCATTTCAAACTATATTTTCATTGGTTAGAAATTTCGTTCACGTCTTAATTTATTGTGTGTTACAGTCTTGACAGGTTTATGTCTTAATGAGTATGTGATCTCTTGATAAATTCCCTCATTAGCATTTTAATTCGCTCTAAAATTTATATTCAATAGTTTATCCAATAAATTTTTATCGCTTGTATCGTTTGTTATCTTTAAAAAATTTTTTACCGCTTATTGATTAAACTGGTGATAAAACAAAAAGATAATAAAAACGTCATATACTTATAATTCCTCATAGAAATACCGTATCTAACTATTGAAATTGATAATCAAATTAACGTATGTGGTATATATAGCCCATAATACATAAGGTTCTAAATTTGATTCCCGAGTGCGGTAAAAATTTTATTGATATATGTCGATGATAATCAAATGGTTAAATAAAACGTAAGCACAAAATATTTGTATCTTTTATAAAGTTTCCATTAAACAAGGTCTGTTATCTTCACTTACTACCCTCAAAAGATTAGGTCTTCAGGACAGGACATGACAGGACATGTAATTTTTTATTCAATATTTATTAATATAAAGCATTCAAGTGTATATAAATGAATAACAGGATGGGTTTTAATAAAAGCAAATGTAACCAAAAAAAATAAAAAAAAGTTTAAATCATTTGCATTTCGTCTGAAGTAAATTTTGTTATTAAATGAACATGAAAGCTGCAAATCCTAATTTAATCCACTCCATACATTTGGTTACTCATCATGAGTCAGTAACATGTGACGCCCTTTCATTCAGCTCTGACGTTCAGTGACATCTATACATATAATAAAATTGTAACCAAGCCGAATCTGTACATTACATATTTTTTGGAAAATCTTATTGAAATAGACATATTATTATCGATACAGAGGCCGAATCTATAGTTTTTAGAATTTTTGTGTCGGTCTGTCTGTCTGTCTGTAACCGTATCACGGAAAAACCACTTGAGGGATTTTGATGAAATTACTATGGTGATAGCTGGTTATCCAGGTCAACATATAGGATACTTTTAGCCGCGGGAAAATATCTCATTTCTGAGAAAAAGTATACTAATATGTAATACCTAAGAATTTAGTTTTTGGTCATCTGAACGCGGGCGGAGCCGCGGGCTATGCTAGTTCGTTTATAATAATAATAATAAGCGTTTATTTCAGACAAGAAGTCCATAAAAATCATTAGTATTATACATTAAGCATAGAACACAGAAAACAGAAATAAAATACTACAAAATTATAACAGAAATATACAAAGAAAAATAAAAACATTTAACATTTAAAAACATTTAACATTAAATTAAATAAATCATGTATGTCAATAGAAGGCATGTCAATCGGTCAATTTAAATTTTCAAGTTATTTAAAGTTTGGCTTCATTATATTCTTTTAAGAGATGGAATATTAAGACCTAAACATACGAACATATTAATTAAACAATCAGAAAAAAATATTGCTTTATTCTACTCAACGACATATTAATTAACATAAATGATATATTACAATAAAAAAGATAATTTAATTTTATATGTTAATTTAATATATAATTTATTATGTAGCTTTAAATTAATTATCTTGTAGTCTTTATTCATATTTTATTTGAGGCTATAAATAATAAATATATGTTGAATAGATATGACCCGCGCAGAAATCAAATCTACGATCTCAAGCCAGTACACACTATACTTACTAAAATACTGTCGATTACACTTAAAATCTTATTAATATTATAAATGTGAATGTTTAGATGCATGTTTGTGTGTTTGCTACTTTATCACGCCAGAACACAGATAAATTATAGTCTCGAATAGCACATAGGCTTCTTATCCCGGAAAAATGTACAGTTCCCGTGGGATAGATAAGTTTCTATTTTTCTAGAGGCGATCCCGAACTAAGAGAGTGTGAGCCGCTGCTCATTAATAATAATTGTTTTTTAAACAACTATAGTGCCGACATGAAGTTATCAGCTAAAAGCATGTTCTGAATGTCTTCTAATAAAACTTACGAGCTTTCTTCACTTAAGATTCACTTGATAAGTCTCGGCGTTAGTGCAAACAATCGAGGCTAACTGTTTACTTATCCCGACTGCGACTAATTAGTCGAGCGGGACGTTTATTAATTGCTACACAAGTCAGTGTCGAAATCACCTTTTTGTCACGTCCCACTGAAGTACTGGATGGACGGTAGGTACTTGAAAAGTCTGAGATGTGGGGTTAATTTAATTTTGCGTTTCGCGGCGAAGAGAATTTGTCGTGTATAATTAATTTTATTGTCTGTCCGTTTTAATATATGGTAGACGTTAGTCACGGTTAAAATTCTAGTTGCTTTCTAAGAAATGTGTTATGTTAATCGGAAATTATATTTGGTACTACATTTTTTTAAATAAAAACAACAGCTATATATTAACTTGTGAGACATGTAAAACCTTAGTCTTTCCCGTGACCATGATTGCATATGTAAAGCATACGAAACATCGGGACCAAAAATCTAAATAAATCCGCGAAAAGATTTAAAAAGATAATTTTATTTAAAAAGTAGCGGTACGTTTTTAATTGATATAAATAGTTATTATTGATATAAAGTTGTTTTTTTCGTTAATTTTTCATTTTTTCTCTTTATTAAAACCTTCCGTGGACCTTAAGGAACATACGAACAAAAATTTGCCGAATTGGTCGAGCCATTCTTGAGTTATGCGCTTACCAACATTCATTTTTATTTATTATTATAGAAGATAGATATCAAATAATCGCGTAAATCTAAGTATTATAAAAACTTTTTAGTAAAGCTCATTTGATTCTCACTGTATATATTTACTAAGATGTAACATAGATAATTTAAATTTACAAGCTTCTACAAAATAGTTATCTCAAACAATAGACACATTATTAAAGTTGGCGGCTTTATACAAAATCCTACCACATGTTTCTTTCACGTGAATGCCTAAGTACATATTACGTACACAAACTAAAGCTATCTAAAACTTTTATTTCATCATAAGTACATCGTACATCATGGTATCTATTCGTTCTTTAGTAGGACGAATAAAAAATAATTATTCGTCCTTTATAAAATATATAAATTATTAGGACAAATCGACTAACAAATTTGTAAATAGAATATGTAGCTCGGCTCAGCTCGGTAGATTAAGGTTATTTTTTTGCATACAGAAACACCTGCAACTAACAATAACTTATTTTAGATTAGAAAACAAAAAAAAAAGTGGTAAATATTCGTCCAAACCGACAATAGTCGGACGAATAATATATTTTTATTTATCAAACGAATAGCAACAGCCTCCTTTATTTATTATTCGTCCTTATTTTAAGTACAAATAGCAACAGCCTTTTGATATACGAAAATCTATTTTTTTTAATAATGTAAACGCTTATTTTTATTACACTGGTGTATAGTAAAATTGACCCAACAGAGTGCTCTCTCTAAATTAGACTTTTAATCGTGATCTTTAAAAAACGTCTCGGACTTGACAACACTGTAACTTGGTTGAATTACAGCTAAGATCAATCTAAAACACCCCATAAGCACGCCAAAAATCATCAAAATCGGTTATGCTATTAAATAGGAGAATTAATAAATAAATAAAAAATATTAGGACATTAACACACACCACCATCTAGTTCTATAGTAAGCTACGAGGCTTGTGTTATGGATACCAGATAGTTGATACATTACACATATATAACTTTAAATACATACATATTATAAATATAAATACCCATGACTGGAACACAAACATTCGTGCTCGTCACACAAATGCCCCCAGCTGGACTCGAAACCGCGACCGCTGGCACAGCAAGTAGGGTTACTACAAACTAAGCCAAACATGTCAGAAGAATACAAACACACGCACACCACAACTTTATATTTATATATATATACATATATATAATATATATTCATATATTACTACATGATTTGCCTGTACATCACTGCTATGATAATTACCACGGTCCGGTGTCCACCCTAATCAACTTCATGACGACAAAATTGCAAATAACTCACACCATCTCCTGTTTCCTACAGAGCACTCGCTAATTAGCCTTTGCGGCGGGGCATGGATTAATTGCAACCAGTGTCTGTCGGTTCGTAACATTATCTCTGTAGGTGTTGGAGCCATTTTCTTAATTAAATGTAATGTTTATAGTCATGCGTTTACATCGTTCATACTTATCTCCATCTAACGCTTCTCCTTCGTCTTTCCTTACAATGTACTTAAATATGGATAAGAAATAAGATTGTTAGATGGAAATTTGACATAAATTCCAATGTAGGTATATTATAAATAGTAGCCACACGTCTTGCATAAAAAACCGGCCAAGTGCGAGTCGGTCTCGCGCACTATGGGTTCCGTACCATTATCTATAAAACCGGCAAAAAAACACGTTTGTTGTATGGGAGACCCCTTAAATATTTATCTTATTCTGTTTTTTAATATCTGTTGTTATAGCGGCAACAGAAATACTTATCTGTGAAAATTTCAACTGTCTAACTATCACGGTTCATGAGATACAACCTGTTACAGACAGACAGAAGACAGACGGACGGACAGCGGAGTCTTAGTAATAGGGTTCCATTTTACCCTTTGGGTACGAGAAACCCTAAAAATACTCGTTATCAACAAATTAGAAATCTATAGGTACATATAATAAAATTCTAACTGAGTCAAATACTTGAACGTTAGTACGAGTATACCTACTCGTATAGTGTTTTCGAGCGACATCTTAATATAAATTAATATATTTTAAATAAAGAATAATATCAAATACGATATTTGAAGTTAAGAATATCTTATATACCAAAGAAACAATAGAAATCGATATTTTATATCGATTTAAAATTTTCAGATTCGAAATCTTTTTCAGTCTAGAAATTCATAAAATAACGAGAAAAAAAATTTTTTTGAACCACCCTAATACATATATAATATACAAGAATTTCTCATTTAATATTATGAGATAAGATAAAGGATACAAGACCGTAAAGTTTAATTTTATATATTTTTTCAGGATATGGCGAATTATAGTTGCGTGGCGGAAAACATTGCCGGGAAAAGAATTTCGGAGTCAGCCACATTGACCGTTTATGGTAAGTATCATGAACAAGTCATTAATTTTAAGTTTTCATGTTTAACAGTAATTATAAAGCGAGTGTATAGTTATGGCTGCGAAAGTAGGTCGTACTGTTAGAATACATAGCTATATGCTAGTTATAATTTCTCTTCGAACTTACATTTGCTCTTAAACTATTTTGGTTTAAGAGAAAATTTAAATATGATCTTAATAAGTATCAAAAGGCAGTGGTAGCCCAGTGGTAACGCGCTCGCTTGGGAAACCGAATGAAGTGAGTTCAAATCCCGGGTCTCGCACCTCTGATATTTTCATGTGCGAATCATTTCCAACATGATTACCACTTGTCTTAACGGTGAAGGAAAACATCGTGAGGAAACCTGCATGTCTGAGAGAATCTAGCAAGTTTTCAAAAGACATGTGAAGTCCGCCAACCCGCACTTGGCCAGCGTGGTGGACTATGGCCTGATTCCCCTCGTGCTGAAGGGAGGCCCGTACCCAGCAGTGGGACGTTAAAAAGGGCTGAATACAAGTATCAAAACCTTATATTTTTAAAAGCTCTACAAATAAGACGTTCTGGAATGCAAGCTTTTGGTACTATTTTTCTAATATAGCAGCGTAAAAACAATTAGGTCACAAATTCTGAAGAAGATTGATAAGGAAGATAACTGATAACGGTACCAAATTAGAAATTGGAATATCACAATTTTGATTTATGTTAGGTTTCATATTTCGTACACTATTCAGTTAACGGTGTTCCCAGAACGGTGAGTAGGCGTTTGCTAATTTATTTAGCTCTACATGGACCGTATCATAAAAAATAATATATGAATTTATTTATTATAAAAGTAAAGTATATTATAGGTATTATATTTCATATATTATGCTAGTATAATAGATAAATTTTAGTTATCGAATCCACTCCTTTCTAGGACTTGCCTCTATGTTAAATATCTTTAGTTAAAGTGCCACTTGATAATAAATTATCCGGATCATACAAGTAATTGGGTAATATGTGACTTAAATCAACTTAGGATTTACTCTACCTTATTTCTGGAATATATTAAAAAGGCAACTCACTACTATTTGTTGTACTGTTAGAAATTAAAGAAGATAAAAATTTAACGTCATTTTAAAAATACCAACAATTTTATCTGCAGTCAGTACTAAAAATCAATGCATCATAAATTAAATTAAAAACCTCTTCAGCAAACACTAACTGATACAGCGTGAAATGACTAATTCTATGTTCTATCAAAGCCTATCGCACAATCACCGCATTAACAAGGTGTCTAACTAGTTTTATTATTTCATGTATAATTTATCTGACAACCAACAATTCTCGACGCTCTTTAACGCTCATTTCACCCTCTCTTGTCTGTAATAACTATACTTTACTGAGATCAAAGGGCACGCGCAGGCTTTGCAATTATTGCGCAGGCGCATGGGAGAGTCATTAGAGAGGCGCCCACGATATCTTTTAAATATGGCGTCTTGGGCGATTGTTATCAAAATTCCGTCTTGGCACGTCCAAAATGCATCTGATAAAGCATCATTGTTTTTTTTATAATAAACTAACGTACGTAACGTAGTTCATCAGAATGAGTGTCGTTACCCGCCATCCGACTTGTAGGCTTCATATAAAATTATATGTTTATATTTGAAAAGGCGACACACTCGCTTGGAGCACCAAAGTTAAGCGAATACAAATCTCGGGTCTCGCATCTTTTATATTACATGTGCGAATCATTTTTAACATAATTAGTGAGGAAATATCTATGTTTAAGAGAACCTAGTAAGTTGTTGCAAGACATGTAAATTCCGCAAATTCGTACTTGACCAATATGGTGGACTATGGCTTGATTAGCCTCGCTTAAACGGAAACTCGAACTTGACCAGCGTGGTGGACTATGGCCTGATTATCCTTGAACGGAAGTCCATGCCCAGGATGTTAATAAGAGCAATATACACATATAACAGCAAAACTTTATTAGGTATTCTTACTTGACCATACACGTCTGTATATGTATTATACAATGTTCAAAATGGAATTCAACAACCATAACAATATTCAATCCAAATGCACTCAACCATAACATTTTATATAACAACAAGCTCTAAAACTTCTACACGCATAGCGGACAATCTCGCAAGTTAAAATCAACTCTACAGTACGTGGACACAACTAATTATACAGTAAATGCATTAGATAAGTTTGCCCATAGAATTTTCATTAATTCCTCTTCAGACGCGCTATGGCGGGAAGTGACCGAATCCGCGGGAAATGGTTTGTTTACCGTGTAAATTCCATTTTAGTTCTAATTGGAATACTTGATGTTTGGAACTCTATAGAATTTTCGACCTTAGCTCTTCGAGTATAGCTTAGATTTGATATGACAACCAATTTTATTCATCATACAAGTCTTGTGCACTAGCAATTACGGTTTCAAGTGTATTGTTATTGATATAAGTCAAATAAATTCTATTGTAATTGTAAATGTGAAGATGTTTGGATGTTTGTTACTCAATAACTCTTTGGTAGGATACTTTTTACTTTGACATGAAGTGGCTGCTATAGATGCTATATTATAGCAAAAACCCAATTAGTACTACGGTCGGGTTATATAAAAGTATTTTTTTCGATCTATAACATATGTAAATAATAATAAACAATTTTTCCTCTTTATAACTTATTCATTAAGGAAGATTATAGGCTATCTAACATATTGATACGATACTTAATAGCGGTTCAACTATTTGATTTTATTCTCTGCCTAGTTTGTTAAAGGACGTAGGTTTGTATCTTGCGTCAATCATTAACGCTTTTTTTCATTACAAATGCTTATATTGTAGAGCTATTAAAGCAAACAGAGGAATTAGACTGTGTTAGCATAAGAAATGCGAGTAATATTTAAAAAAAATCAAAAACAAGCGCAACAGCGACATATTTCTTTAAACTGTAATTTGGTAGTTCAAATCTAAAGTTACATTTAATAAGTACTTACCGAAAAAGAATTTAACTTCTAGTTATACTGTATGATACTCTCTATTCCCAACAAAGCAAATATCAATATGATTGTTGACAAATCTATAAAAGAACAAATCACAGAAGAAGAACATTAGAAGCAGCCCTACTGCAATCTTAAATCTGCTGAGAACTGTTAGAAATGTTTTGTATTTCCTCTAGTAAAATGGCGTGGTTGTATAAAAAATTGAGTACACGAACGCATTTCACCAGCAGTATTGTTTTCCAACGAAATCCGAAGTAAGCCATCCATCAATTAGCCCGTGCGTGACGAAACAACAAACAAGTTCACAATGTATTTATTTTGTGAACAAGCCTTATAAAAGGCTTACCGGCGTACATGTCGGGGTTTAGTTAAGAATTTTAATATTTCAACACGAACGGTGTATTTAATTTGGACGATTGATGGTCATGCGATGGGGCTCATAATAAAATAATCATGAAAATTATTTCTAGGAAGTTTCAAAACATTTGTATTGTTAAGTTAAACAGCGAAGTCCAGATAAAAGTTTATTTATGTGAGACTGAAAGTTTTTGTTGGTTAAAGCCTGGAATTCACCCCTGGGGCGATTAAAGGATTTTCAATTTATAAACATAAATTTGTTTTGAAAATTAAATAATCGCTCTCGCTCTCATCGCATCCCAACTCATCATTTTTTCTTTATTACCAGTTTTAATAATAACGTTCATCTCTATTTAAAAAATATAGGCAGTGGTAGCCCAGTCGTAATGCGTTTGCTTCGGTAACTGAGTGAAGCTGGTTCAAATCCTGGATCTCGTACCTCTAATATTTTCATGTGCGAATCATCTCCAACATGATTATCGCTTGTATAACGATGAAGGAAAAACATCGTAAGGAAACCTGCATGCCTGAGAGAACCTAGCAAGTTTTCTAAAGACATGTGCAGTCCGCTTACCTGCACTTACCAGCGTGTTGGACTATGGCCTGATCCCCCTCGTATTGAAGCCCGGAATGAAGAAAATGGGCAGAAACTACTATTTAAAACAAACATACATGCATACAAATCAATGCAAGTTGTAGAATAAGCTCAAAAATCTGTTTACTTCTATTCTTCTAAATGCAAATAAAAAAAACCGTTATGAACATTATATTAATAATAAACACTTTCCAAAGACGCATTCTCCGCCAAGAAATGCAATTTATGAAGATTTTAATTATCGTATAAGTTTTACAACCTATTATCGTTAAACCGTACACAAATACCAAACTGGATGGATTTAATAGTTGTCTAAAATCCCCATTAGGCGAAGATCTTTATTTATATACACTTAATAGTTAAGCCAAGATGTAATGGGCAATCAATTTTTATAGTCAAAGGAGCGACCATATTAAACCCATGGGTGGTCACTGGATATGATTTATAAGGATATTGACCACACCTTGACCTATAAAAGTAATTATAGTTTTATTTAGCTTGATCAGAATATGGTAATAGTATAGTGTGCGTCGATGAAATTCGATGATTCCAGTCATTTCCTTTATGATGACTCTTCGCTTTTTGGCGATGAGGTGACTGAAATGTCTTATTATATGGGTATACTTAAAATTTTATGGTGAATTTTAAGTCAGATTTTCAAAATCACTATAAAATTTTATTCTCAGAATTATTCTACTACTGAGAGTAAAAATTTATTTTACTCAAATTTACATATGTACATTGTACATGGAACCAACCATTCTTTTAACCATATTTAGTTAATACATCGCGTAATGTACACAAAAAAAATAAACACCCGAATAAAATATCTGTCTGTCTTTCCTTAAACATATTTTTTTTGTCCAGTAAAATAAAATTCTCGATCCTAAGAGATAAAGTACTTATATAAAAAATTTGGTCATCCAGACGTTAGGTTTGAGCCAGACACAAAGGAACATTTTTGTGACAGACGGACGGAAGTGCGGAAATTACGAAATTAAAAAGGCTTCTTTGAGTGAAGCCTGAGATAAGAAAAGGTCTCTCTGAATAATTAGAATCGTATTACATTAATTCATGGACAGGCCTTCTAAAATTATATTTTGATCTAGTTTTCTATCACTAAAGATTACTTAAAATGTTTATTATATTTCAAAAATACAATAAACACAACGAAATTCGAATACAAATAAAATTTTATATAATTAAATTTTTACAATCACTTTGACATCGTCAATACGAGCTTTAATAAATTGTAACGCTTAAAAGTTCAAGATTAAAAGCTCTAACAGTAAAAGCTTAGCTTTCAACTATATTTTTTGTTTCATTTCTAACATACGAACGTTCTTGCATACAGTATACATTCTTAAGCTCATTCCTTACCAAAAAAACACCATTAATACTAATTCTCGAAGAACATGTGGCGTAGTGTGAAATCTGACAATTTATAACCGTTAAGATAATGTAACCCCTATTACGTGTAATTTGGGAAAGTATAAGCTATTATATGGCGTTTTGGGAAACATCCTTCGATGGGGAAAATTATGGTAATGTTATTATGAAACAATTCGTGGTAATGACTTTCTTGATTTATATGGGGTTTAACACTTTACAATAAATACTTGTTTTATCATAATTTATATAAATTTTAAGATTTATTTTCGGTGCAAGTTGTAAGAATAATCTTTTAAGTACAACTCATGTGTTAAATCTTTTACTTGTCTAATAAACGATATTGGCTTGATGTTTTAGCTGACATGGAATTTGTTCCGATTTAAAATAATAATATTTATAAACCAAAAAAACTTAAATAAATTTTGACAAATTAAAATTTTACAAATGTTTAATTTTTTTTAAAAAGTAAAAATATTTATTTTAATAAATAATAAAACCATTTACATAAAATCAGTCAATTTAACTAATTTAAATCTGATGTTCTCCTAGCCGATTTCGGCTACGGCGGCCAATCTCATTGAGATTAGCCAACTGCGCAGGAGATATTATAGTGTTAAGTGTACGCGCAGACACAAGTGCACTGTCTATTCCTATCACTCTCATACTCCGGTGGGACGACCACTCGACACGACCGGTGAGAGTTAAGGCGCAGGACCGACGGCTTTACGTGCTCTCCGAGGCACGGGGGTCAAACACCGCCAACTTCCCAACTCCGGGCTGTTACTGAGACTTACTATACAGAAAGACTCAATAACTAAACTTGGCCCGACCCGGGACTCGAACCCAGGACCTTCGCGTGTGCAGCCGTACATACTAGTCAATACACCACCGAGGCAGTTAAATCTATACATATAATAAAATTGTAACTAAGCCAAATCTGTACATTAAATATTTTTTGGAAAATCTTATCGAAATAGACATTATTGTCGTAGCAGAGGCCGAATCTATAATTTTTTTTTTGAATTTTTGTCTGTCGTCTGTCTGTCTGTTACCGCATCACTGTAGGGATTCTGATGAAAATTGGTAAGATGATAGCTGGTTATCCGGGTCAATATAAAATATTCTAAAGAGTATTTTATATTGACCCGGATAACCAGCTGTAAACAGCAGGAAAATATCTCATTTCTGAGAAAAAATACAAAAACTGCAATGTAAGAGTATACTAATATGTAAAACCTAAGAATTTGGTTTTTGGTCATCTGAACGCGGGTGGAGCCGCGGGCAATACTAGTTTAATAACAAAGCTAACATTTTTACTATCCACGATCATATAAAACAAATTTATTGTAACATAAAAGCTTAATTAAAATACAATATATTGTAAAATTGTTGAAACCATCCAATTATCGTCAAGCGTGGCAAATCACAAATTTCTTTGCCAATTAGAATAAAAAGTCGAGTCTAGGTCACCTAGGCACGCGAGCTAGCATGACTGGACCTAACGTGGATCTTAAAATACGATACGCGTTGCGTCGCGTGATTAATGCTAGTTTTTTTCAAAGGGTTTCTTTATAGCTTCATTAAAATTGAATGGATTTTAAGGTAATTGAAAGCTATTGGTTTTAATGAGCTTCGTATAAGTTACTTCTACGCATATAAATGAGATATTAAGTAAGACATTTTGTGTGAAGAGATAGTTTGAAAGTTGAATTTAAAATGTGTTGTTTCATAACGATTCTTTATTTCAAATTGTATTTTTTTATTTCAAACTAGTATTGGCCCATGACTCCGACTGCATATTTTATTTATGTATAATTGCTCAGCTTGTAATGGATATAGCGTGATATTAGTAAACATATGTATATATAACCTTAGTTAACGAATGCTCTAAAAATGTTTTTTTTTTTAAATCGCACCGGTAGTTCCAGAGATTAGTGTATTCAAACAGATTAAAAAAGACCTTTTCCTTTTAAAAATACGATATGATATATTACGAGTTCTAATCTATACATAAAATAAAATTCTGAGTTGAATCTGGGCATTAACTTTTTTTTAAATCTTATTGGAATAGTCATTATTATGGATACAGAAGCCTAATCTACAGTTTTTTAGAATTTTTGTCTGTCTGTCTGAAAGTCAAGAAAAGAACTGGACAGATTTTGATGAAATTTTGAATGATGATAGCTGGTTATCCAGGTCAATATATTGGATAATTTTTACTGCGGGAAAATATCTCATCTCTGAGAAATCTATACGAACCCCTAAATCGTACCTAGAGAAAGACCCGAGCGAAACGAGGGTTAGTTGCTAGTACTGTTGTTATATATAATCAAACGCCATATCTAATAAAAAATGAAATACTTTTAGTTTTCAAAAGGTATATAAACTAAAATAATACATATTACGAATATATTTTTGCTAACTTTTATAAAAGCTCCATATGAAATATAAACATCAAAAAAGTCTAAGAAAATTGTGTATCGCTAAACCCATTGACTTTTTTCAATCGACGTGAAAGGCGTGAGGAAATGTAATTTAGGTAAACGATTTTTCAGCCTTTTTGCCATAATTGAAAATCAAATCGCTTTTAGTACAAGGAAAATTATATATAAACACAAAATACTATATGAAAAATAATTCAGTATAAAGCTATATGACTTGAGTGTTTGAATATTAGCGATAAATTGTTTAGCTATTTAGATTGCAAACGCTTCGGATTTTTGTTAATAGAAGTATGTTTATCTTTTTACAGTATGACTGAAAATTAATGAATTTATTGAACATAATAACGAAGTCGATATTTTAAAATTATTTCATTTTACGCTTTTTTTATTATACCTATTTGAAATGGTACTGAATTCATAAGTAGTATACTAGCGACTCACCCTCGCTCCATTCGGGTTCGTCCCTATTTACGTTTTGACGTTTAGTATAGATTTCTCATAGATGACATATTTTTCCGCAGTAAAAAGTATCCTATATTTTGACCCGGATAGCCAGCTATCATCATACCAAATTTCATCAAAATCCCTTCAGTGGTTTTTCCGTGATGCGGTAACAGACAGACAAAAATTCTAAAAACTATATATTCGGCCTCTGTGTCGATAATAATGTCTATTTCAATAAAATTTTCCAAAAATTTTTTTTTTTGGTACAAATTCAGCTTAGTTACAATTTTATTATAATTAAAGATATCTTGGTTTTGATTGTTTTTAGATCAGTTCTTAGCTATAATTTAACTTGGTAGGTAGTGATGGTAGTATTTATCACCCAGAATCATTTTTTTTATTTTTCGACCTAAAAAAGTCTATGGCACAACAACGTTTTTCTACCGGATACGTACCAAAAACATATTTGTACCTAAAACTTTTTAAATCAAAACCTAGCTTTTCAAAATAAAACAATACCATAATAATAACAAAATTCAACCACTTTTAAAATAACTTAAGTACCTACCATAAAATTAATCGATCTTGCTTTTCCCAGTTAACGGCGGTTGGAGTTCTTGGGGTCCATGGACTCAATGTCGCTGTAACGGGCGTGTCGCAGGCCAGAAGCGAACCCGCACTTGCACTGAGCCACACCCACTGAACGGTGGCGCACCATGCCAGGGTCAAAGTGTTCAGAAGACTGCGGACTGCGTATTATGTCAAAGTGGTAAGTTACTTTGAAATATTGAGTATTCCATACATTAAGTACTTATATACTTTATATTTTTCGATATATTATATACAAAACGTCCCGTTAGTGCTTATTTGTCCAAACGATGAATTCACCGAAAAAATGTGAATATCTACAGAATTGTTGACTTTTAAGTGTCAATTTTATGAATTTGATTGGTACATTTTACGTTAATAAAGCCAAATTATATGTTAGCAGATTAGAGTTTTTGTTCTCCTTTTTTACCGGTCATTCTATATATACGAGTATAACGTGCCTTCTCCATTCTACGCGACATTGGCAAAGTAAATTGTACCGAAAGGCATTCCTAGAAGCCACGAAACTAATGAATTGAATGGAATTGAATTAATAAAGTCAAAGAAATATATTCTATCTATATAAGTATGTATTTAACTCTTAGAAATGAAGCTATTTTAAATACATTTAAAATAGAGGAAAAAACTTTTCTGTAAAGCAGACACAACAAGTAGGTCGTTTGAATAATAAACACTAAAGGCGACGAAATATTCTACTTCGTTATTTAATAGAGTTCAATCGTTTATTGTTGTTTATTTAATACATTTTTTTTAATTATGGATAAATATGTTCAAGAAATAAGATTCAGAAAATACTTTGTGATGTAACCAAAATAATTAAATCACTTAAAAACTTCAAAATTACTTAAAAAGCAATTATTATAACTGTGCAGTGTGATTTTTGTTTTTGAAATTTATATAACACCACCTTAGTTCGAGAAACAAATCAACAAACATCAAATTAGATCAGATATATATATATATATATATATATATATATATATATATATATATATATATATAAATAAGAAAATATGATGACCGTCTGTAAACGTTTCGGTTCATATTCATACGTTTATGTCCCAGGTCATTGATCTTGATTAGATTATTTATAATAGATATCTTACTGATTGGTAGTGACGGGATAATTAAGTCGTTTTAAAGACCTAGTAACATCAAATATCGTTACGGCCCAATAAATAAACGCTTTGTCAAAGTAATTAATCAGCGTAGCAGTTTAAAATTTCTAACGAGCTCGTGAAAGGTCTATTTGAAATGGTTCTTATAGCTTTAGGCTTATTGACATTATATGTGTAACTAAGTAGAACATAATATAAGTAGGTACTATTAAGTTCATCTAATGTTATACATGTATGTATGGAATTAACAAATATTTTAATTGTTTTTTTATAAGTAAATACACTGTCTTCAATATCACTTTAAAACGAAGTTATTATACAATAAACAACGAATATATTAGTAGTACCTTGGTGGTAATTTTTTCTAGAAAATCTAGGATCATCTCAACCATTAAAATTATAAAAATCGATTTTCAATCGGCTAAATCATGCTAATTAAACATACACAATAAGCCATATATTCGCATTAAGAACCTCCATTTTTGAAGTCGGTCAACAAAGCAACAATAAATAATAGCAAAAAGAAAAAGCCTTTGTAAGTCATTCTAAGAGCAAAACTCGAAGCTACATCAATCGGCTAGCGTGAAACATAATTACAGAAGTATGGAAGAGTGACTTATTAACTCGATTCCTTTGATGGCAGATGCTTTATAATTAGTATAAGCCAGCTTCATGCAATGGTTTGATAAATGGATCCAGAAAATAAGGTATTTGTAATGCTTCTCAACGTTATATGAAAGATCAAAGATGTAATTATTAAGGTGCACTCCAATAAAAGATTAGCGATTGGTTACGGCTTGGGTTACATTAGGCACATATGTATGTATATCTATATCTATATATATATATATATATATATATATATATATATATATATATAATCCTTTATTGTACACCCAAAAAAAAGTAAATGATACAAAATATAGGAGAAAGTAGTTACAAAAGACGGTCTTATCGCTAAAAGAGCGATTTCTGTCAAGCAACCTTTAGTTGTAGGAAATAGTATTAAGATTCCCTTCTACCATTAAATAATGAGATAGTAGAAAAGTATATATGTATAAATATGGTCATACGTATTATACAAATTTATAACAAATACAAAATAAATATAAGTGAAATATAATTCACAAATAACTATATACTGTATCTACTATCATCTATATATACATAGATACTGTAGCCATATTATTAATATTTTTACTAAAGTCAGTGTAGTCTGTTTATAAGAAAGACGTCATCTCACAATCTAGCAATAGAATATTAGCAGATGCTATTGCAAATGAACATAAATAGGTACTAGCGGACCCGACAGACGTTGTCCTGTCTACACGTCTTTAATTTGAAAATTTCAAACTTTTTTTAATAATTTTTTTGATGAAAATTATTATTCAAATTGTGAATCTAAACCATTCCCAGATCCCCTTGAACACACACAAAAAATTTCGTCAAAATCGGTCCAGTCGTTTGAGAGAAGTTCAGTGACATACACACTCACAGAAGAATTATATATATAAAGATAGGTATAATAATGTCCATCTGACCGATCTGCAGCAGATTTTATAGGTATAGCAAAAAAATGCACAATGTCCGACTTAGGACTCGAACGCAAGACCTCATAGGTGATTTATCAAGATTTATTAATATTATAAATTTGTTTGATCTATAAAGAAAACAGCTTTGAACATTTTGATTACACAGCATCTTGTTAGTAATTCGTGCAAAAGATCTTCACGTACTTTTATCTTCTAGATCTTTTGACAGAATATTAATTTTATTAAGTAATCTTCTTTAATTTCTATTCTGAGGTATTTTATTATCCGACTGCGGCGAAATCCAAAGGAGGGTTATTCTTTAATTATAATAATTAAAAATTATCTGTAAGGCTATATTAATATTTCCTTAATAACTATAGTAAAATGGCATGCCTTATAGTAATTCTCTTTTTTAATGCTTTCTGAAGACGGATATAACATGGACCTTCAAGTGTATGATAATACACAACAACTATTGATCGGTAAGTAAATTTATTTGGTAAAACTTTGTTTTAATGGCGTTTAATAAATTAATGAACTATTAGATTGAATCATAATTACATACGTAGAAATTGGCTTGAACCTTTTAATTAAAAATATCTTTTCGGTTCGGTTTTTTTCCCGACATTTCTTTCGAATGCTGCGTAAATCTAAGAAAGTTCAATACTTTCTTAGATTTAGGCTTGAACCTCTTACATAAATCATATTATATACTGCACAACGTATATACTTAGTACTAGCAAGTGGCTTAGAAAAATATATTAGTATTTTAATAGATATAAATGCTTAGTAAAAATATTTTTCTATAATATTTTATTAGATTTACGCGGATATTTGACATTTTAAATAAAACGGCAGAGTCTCTCCCATGACCATGATTGCTGTTAAAGCATTCAACACGTCGGGAACCAATAATCTAAATAAATTCGCGAAATAATCCGAAAAGATAGTTTTATGAAAAATATTTTTCTGTTAATAATTATAATCTTCATAAAAAATGTTACTGGAATTTTCCTAAAAATTGTACTTTTAAAATTTTACGTACCTTTCCGTCAAAGTTGATTCTACAAAGAGAAGTCATATAATGCCCAATTAAAACAAAAGAATACAAGAACCACCCACTTACGCTAACATAAAAGACGTAAACGAACAAAGCGCACGTGCCCAAAAATCCTTACAACTGCCATATCTTGCATCTCCAGGGATACTCAACTTGCGGTCATAAGATTAATGTATAAACAATAGCTACAAAGAAATCCTATTATATCATATATTTTTGTACTATTATTTATAAGATGTAATGTATTTTATATGCCATATTTATGTTAATACTTGCATTGCCCGCGGCTCCGCCCGCGTTCAGATGACCAAAAGTCAAATTCTTAGGTTTTACATATTAGTATACTCTTACATTGCAGTTTTTGTATTTTTTCTCAGAAATGAGATATTTTCCCGCGGTAAATAATACTCTATATGTTGACCCGAATAATTAGCTATCACCATACCAAATTTCACCAAAATCCCTCCAATGGTTTTTCTGTGATGCAGTAACAGACAAACCGACAGACAGACAGACAGACACAAAAATTATAAAAACTGCCTCTTTGATGATGAGATTTGGCCTCTGTATCAATAATAATGTTTATTTCAATAAGATTTTCCAAAAAATATTTTATTTACAGATTCGGTTTAGTTACAATTTTATTATATGTATAAAAGTAATAATCACAGAAATATTGTATCCGATAGTTTATGAGTGAGTATATTTGTTATTTCTTAACGTTATAATAACAACAAGATTTGGATTAAACTTCAGTACGAAGATTTTCTAAAATGTGTTGCTATTTATGGACGTGCCTAATATGTGAAGGAAGTTGCCGAAAAAAGCAAGTAGCATGATATATTGTATGGGAAAAATCGAGATTGGTGGCATAAATATATTGTTATAGTTTATCAGAATATTAGACGAGCTTTGGAACAAAAAGGTATACTATGATGTTTCTAATTAGATCCTTGAAATTCTTTCACTAATATATACATTTTATGTATATGTATAACTAGGTACGGTATCTCTTATGTAAAAAAGGTATTTTATTCTGGTACATATATGATGTGGCCCCTGTTTTATTTATTTATATATAAGATATGTTTGGCTTGTTGGCAGGTTCTTTGGTTTGTAGCTTTTTAATTAACAGGAAGTTGCGGATTTGATATCTAGATAATAGACCGATTCATTATCATACTTGTATAAACCAAAGAATGATAAGCAAAATGACACAAACTTAATTAAAAAATCAACGAAACATATTATAAGTACTTTGTAGTATAGAAAGCTATAGAAATGCTCGTCTATGACATTTTCATATGTCTAAAATAAACTAGTAACATTTACCGCTCAATTAGCAACAAGTAGTTTCACACCTGCTTTCACTCATCAAAACGCGGTGACATTTAAATAGTAACGTATACAGTTTTCGCTATTACTCGGCATAAATGAGACTAATGTTAGTTTAACTTATTAGGAATTTCGGAATTCGAATATTTTTGATATATTCATTGTTTCTATGAATCAAATATGGACACATGCTCATTAAATGAAAAAAAACTAAATATCGATTAAAAATATATATAATTAATAGGTATACCGTATACGAAAACAAAATATATTAAAAAGTCATAATTATAATGATTTTTACAAGCTTTTATTTAACTTGCCATGTTAGTATGTTAGTTTGGGACAAATCTTGCAACTGAATTTTAAAGCAGTTATTCTTCCCCGATTGAGCTGAAATTTTGGATACACGTTAAGTTTCGATTTACCTGTTTAGATCAATGTTAATCAAATTGTACAGAAATGATATCTTTTTTTATATATATTTTTTTTAAAAATCTCGTGAGTTTTTGTATCATATGAATAAATTATGTAGTATAATAAATTGACAAACCCGATTTAATTTAAAGTTTATTTGGCTCTTTTAGAGCATTTAAATAAAAGCTTGTTTAATAAAAAATGTTTTTTTTATAATTATTTTATTATATGAACATTTAACGAAAAAATTAAAAGCCATTATAACTAACTAAAGAAAGGTTGAACACATCTGGTAAACTATAAAAATCCCGCGGTTTAATACGTAAGCTATAAAACAGCGACTGGTCACATCAAAGGCTTAAGTGTTTCATAGCGATGGTAAAATTACAAAGCAGAAAGTAAGGATTTGTTTTGATACACACAGTAATTTTCTTTAACGAGCTGTTATTAAGAGATTCATCTGGACTAAAATAACAAAAAAATATATAAAATCTCACTATAATAATTTAAATGTAAAAATTGAGTACATACAAGTATTTCCACTTATGAAATAATCAAAGAAGATATATGAAGTTTGTACTTTCCTCCTTGTATAGAAATATTATTTAAGCAAGAATCAAACCCACTACTCAACAGTCATCAAGTATCTTTTGTATCTTTTGAAAAAACAGATACACTTATTAAGCAGAGAACCTGAACATGAAATTACCTAATTTATTAAGCAGAGAATATACAAAAATAGATTTTGCAAAGGAAAGAGCGGGTAGTTATATATATATATATATATATATATATATATATATATATAACACATACTTCTATTCCCCGATATAAAAAATACCGAAAAAGTCGAGTGAAGCTAATGCAAATTACTAGTAAAGTGTATAATACTTAGCACAAGTAAAACTTCAATCGTTTTGTTTAATTTACAGCAGTGTGTTATAAAACTAGACCAACCGGGAAGAAAATAAAATATAATCAAGAACGTTTATTTCAGTGAGACAGCATTGTTCCTCTAATTGCTAACACATGTCGATGTCATACACGTATAATGGTTATGGCTAAAATATGGATCTGTTCTCATGTAAAATGCACTGAAAAGTTAGTTTTGTGGTGTAAAATTGAAGATTCTTGTATTACATACAATGATTTTTGATATTATAATGAAAATTTGTAACAATTTTGTATTTAAATCAAATATTTGTATATTGCATTCGATGGTGGTTTGGTTAGTCTGAAGAATATATGTATTTATATTAAAAAAAAATCAAACACGTAGTAACTAAGTAATAATACCAATCTATTAAAATACCACTATGCCAAAAGGATATTCGTTATATAATCATAATCATGGGTTGACTACATTAATCATCATTTTTACTCATACTAATATTATAAAAGTTAAAGTGACTCTGTTTATTACCTTTTCACGCTTAAACCGCTAAACATATTTCGATAAAATTTGGCAAGAATATAGATTGCATCCTGAGAATGAACATAGACTACCAGTAAGCCCCAATTTCCACGCAAACAAAGCCGCGGGCAAAAACTAGTCTTATTTATATTTTTAATTATTTACCCCATGCAAGATGGAACCCACGACCCATCTTATTAGGCATACGCTGTGTTTATTACACATAAATTATTCAAATCGTCTGCCCGAAGTATTTAAAGTACATTAGTCTTTCACGCCTAAATTTTTAACCAAGAATATAAGACGTCATTGTTCCTTCTCTAACGAACCCCGACTGATTTATGTGTGCGCGTTAATTAATATGATACACGCACACACATACTTATATCTAAATAAACTTTACACCCACACTAATATGAGATTGAAATATGAGATATCGGTCCATTTTATTAGAGTTATGCGTGTTAGAGAAACTGAAAGGATGATAGAAGAGATAGTTATAATATTTTATGATTCAATGCTTTAACAATTAAGAATTTACGGATTTCCTGTAATTTTTTGTCTTTCATAAGTTGAAATTTTCAGATAATGTATAATTTCGCGTATTCTATTGGTACTCGAGCGATTTTATATTATTTCCCAAAGATCCTTTTAGCACATCTATATTTGTTCTAAAACCGGATGCTGGCTAGAAATACCATTTGAACAAAAATGTCGTTATTGAACTTACATATTTAATATTATAATATGCAAAGATTCGTTTTGAACTCTATCTATATATCAAACAAAGTCAGGGTAGTTACACCATTTATAACCAAGAATGGTTAAACTAATTTTAAAGATCTTTAATTTGTTGGATTTGTATCCGCCCCGTATAACGTAATAACTGTTAACACATCGGAAAATTTAATGAAAAAAAAATTAACATGGCTAACGCTATTCCAAATGTATCCAAGGACACTCCCGAGCGAAGTCAGGGTAAGCCGCTAGTAAATAATAATTCATACTAATCTATATAATACATATATATAATAAAAGTCGCTTGACGTTTGTATATTGCACCAAGTTCTCAGGACAAATTCTTATCCTATTATTCGTTTTTTAAAAAACATACGTGATTTATCTTTGTAAGGGCCGGAGCGTCTCGAGGTACTTTAATTTCAATTTATAGTACAATACTTTATGACAACGTGTTTGCATTATTAGATAGATTAATAACATCAGAACTGTGTATGGGAATGTTTTATTTTTATGCTATTTTAAAATTGATATATTACCCTGAGATATAAACTTTTTAAGTGGTAAAGTTTTTTTTTCTTTGTTATCTTGTTTCGTAACGTGTAAATAAATAAATATGACAGTGAAAACAAACTTTTTTCTATAATACTTTCTTAAACTTTTTTCTATTAGGCAGACTTCAAAATCAACCAATTTTTGTATTATAAATGCGAAAGTTTTATTGAAACTGAAAATTTGAATAAAAAAGAGATAGTTATATTACCATAACCAATAGAATAGGAATAGGATGCATCTATGAAGAGACCGAATCTATAGTTTTAGAATTTTTGTCTGTCTATCTGTCTGTCTGTCTATGACCGCATCAAGAAAAAACACTGGAGGGATTTTGATGAAATTTGGTATGGTGTTAGCTGGATATTCGAGTCAACATATAGGATACATTTTTCTTCGGGAAAATATATCATGTTTGAGAAATCTATACTAAATATTAAAACGTAAGTAAGGAAGAACCCGAGCGGAGCGAGGTTGAGTCGCTATATATAATTTAAAACAAAAATACAGTATAATATTACAAAAGAAAATATCATTTTTTGTTCAAAATTCGTTTATGGATTAATGAATTGACTCTACCTTTTACGAAATTGATACGTTACGTCATGCAATAGCCCGTGCAATATTATTAATACTCTCAAACATGCGATTCGACCATTCGCAAATTCGATACTGGGTAATAATGGTATGTAATCGCGAATAACCATTTTTATTTTATTATCCGGTGAAATAATCAATGACTCTCCTCAGAAATCTTTATAATGTAACTTAATAAAATTTCAAATTTTATAACATCACTATCACTAATATAATTTTGAAATATTGGCAAATTAGGTCCTTATAGTTATTTGCATGATGAAAGATGCTTAACAAACATTTTCATTAATTTATCTCTGTTTTGCGCCATATCTTTTACAACCTTAGTGGTAAAATTCTATATGAAACTAAACATGTAAAGATCATATAAATGTTTGGTTATATATCATACTAGCAGTACCTGCCCGTGGCTTCGCTCGTGTTCAAACTTCATAGTATCACCCGCTAGGCTAATCTGAAGATTGCCTGAAAATTCCATCAAAATCGCTCCAGCCGTTTTGTTGTTCATAGGAAACATACAAGCACATACAAACATATATGTATATATACATACATAGATGAAATAGTTGAGCTTTGTTAAGTGAAATACGCAATGCAGGTCTATAATGAAAGGTAGCGACTAATCACTTATGCGGAAATCGATTGCATACGCATATGTAAATTCTGATTAGGATATAGGCGTATGACTGTTAAGGAATATTCAATGAATTATTATTTATATATTATAATGTACTAACTTTTGTCCGCGACTTCGTTTGCATAGCATTAAGTCTATATAATTGATCCTCTCCTTAAATACGTAGTAAATGGCGTGATACTAGATAACCTAAAATATTCTTCAATAAATAAGCTTTAATATGCCAAAAGAACTTTTAAAATCTGACGAGTAGGTACAGAGAAAAGCGCCTTTAAACGAACAAAACAAACAATCTCTTTAGCTTTATAAGATTAGTGTTTTATAGTACAATTTAGTGTAATTCTGAAAATTAACAGTATTACATTAATTTATGAAAATTAATCTATTAAATTAATTAATTTCCAATTAATTGCTGTTATTGGGTTAGTTTACTTAATTATTTTAAACGTATATTTTTATTTATCAACTGCCCTCGTTTTGCTAAGTCCTTATTCTCATCTTTAGATTCCTGCGCCACGGTTATACATAAATGTATAAAAAAATCAGGCCAAACTACGTATTCCCATTCTATAGAATGAATTAACGTGCACAAATGAACATACAAAAAAATGTTTTATATTAAAATAAATAAAACTATGATCTCTCCAATAAATCTTTACTAAAGTAGTTAAAATTACTAAAGTCTTTAGTCTTATAATGTTTTTTTTTAAATACTTAGGAATGTTTTATTATTAAAAACCTAATTTTTGACTTCGTATATTAATTTTATATTGTCTTCCAGCGTCGCCAGGTCGATGGGGGGTGTGGACTGAGTGGTCAGTGTGCGGCTCTGATTGCCGACAGACGAGACGTCGTTCTTGTATGGGAGACGCGTGTTCCGGCGCCCAAGTTCAGCACGCAGATTGTGTGGGTGACTACTGTGGCGTGCATGGGGGTAAGCATATTATTTAGATAAAGCTGAGAAAATAATAGGATATAATATATTAAGTAGGATAAAGTAATAATAAGTAACTAGTAAAATAATAGAAGTAATTATTATCTTACATATACATATATAAATACAAAAATAAGTGAGAATGAATCATATAGTTTTTTACTGAAATGCAGAATATGACCCGGATAACCAGCTATTATCATATTAAATTTCATCAAAATCTGTCCAGTGATTTTCTCGTGATGCGTTCCCAGGCAGATAGACAGACAAGAATTCTAAAAACTATAGATTCGGCCTCTGTATCGATAATAATGACTATTTCAATAAGATTTTCCAAAAAATATTTATGTATATAGATTCGACTCAGAATTTTACTGTATGCATAGATTAATTGTTTTTTTTTGTTTGTAAATTCACCTTGAGTAAATTATTTTATTCTTTGCTTATAAGCTATTATTTTTAATATAGTAAATTATTCTATACAGAACAATTTACTCCATATGAAGGGTTCATTTATAAAAAAGGAAAAACCAGATACGGAAAAACTATCCAACTCACCCCCTAGGTTTTTCCTGCTATATACTTACTTGTACTTTCATTTCCCTTGCGTAAGCAATTACAATTACCTTATTAAATAACTGTATACCCATAAAAACTATGTACAGACAAATACAGTAAAATTTATGTTGCGACTATAAATATATACATATATATATATATATATATATATATATATATATATATATATATATATATATATATAAATACATAGTATAACAGTATAAATATAAAATTTCAAAATCTAACAAATATGCTTAACATTATTATGATAATCAAAATATTTTCAAAACTATGTTTCAACATAATATTCACGAGCAAATAATAACAATCCACATATATTCTAACTAAAAACTTTAACACACGCTTACGTTCCAAAGAAACTCTGGAACTCCCATTTATCAGTTGTGAGAGGAAGTTATCAGAACCATCGAATTTCTTAGATCGCCGTTTCATAAACTTAACAACTTCATACCGCTATTTCCCGCAATACGCACAAGTTACGAAACACATCTTGTTTACTGCCTGCTTTGAATAGATATCTATACATATAATAAAATTGTAACTAAGTCGAATCTGTATATTAAATATTCAAAATCTTATTGAAATAAAGTTTATTATCGATACAGAGGCCGAATCTATAGTTTTTAGAATTTTTGTCTGTCTGTCTGTCTGTTACCGCATCACAGAAAAACCACTGGACGGATTTTGATGAAATTTGGTATGGTCATAGCGGGTCCGGGTCAACATATAGAATATTTTTTATCGCGGGAAATTATCTCATTTCTGAAAAAAAAAATACAAAAACTGCAATGTAAGAGTAAACTAATATGTAAAACCTAAGAATTTGGTTTTTGGTTATCTGAACGCGGGCGGACCCGCGGGCAATGCTAGTATTATAATAAATATCGGTTTGACTCGGATGTATATGATCCACGTCAGTTATGAAACTAAAATGTTTCTGTAGGGACATGTTAATTAGACTGATTCTATGAAACATGGGGCTACGACCAGATGCCATGGGACTAAAAATATACTTCCTTTTCCGCGCGCTCATAGCTATGAAATGTAACTGCCTGGCCTCTTTATAACGGGCTATCAGTAACCCTAACCTGCCAGTATAAAATGACCTCTAGCTATTGGTTAAGTAAGAGTAATTTAATAGTTTAAACATAGAGATAAGGAACCCAAAGGTTCCTCTTTGGGTGGCCATATTATGAGATTGGAGATATGAAAATCGGGTGCCGTGACCATCTGGGTATTACAGTCTAAATATAGCAGTGTACCTAAAATTTTATGATATACTTACGTAACATTGAGATTAAGTTGGTTTTAGAGAAATAGCCCGCGCTGTTTCTAAATTAGGCGTCTTATAACTTGCATTTATTCACTTTTAAAGTAGCTTTATTTGTTGTTTAGATTAACAGAACTTTAAAATGTAATTAAAATAATAATAAATAAATAAATAAATATTATGTTATGACATTAACACACACCACCATCTAGTTCCATGATAAGCTACGAGGCTTGTGTTATGGATACCAGATAATTGATACACTACACATATATAACTTTAAATACATACATATTATAAATATAAACAAACACCCATGACTGGAGTACAAACGTTCGTGTTCATCACACAAATGAATGCCCCCAGCGGGACTCGAACCCGCGACCGCTGGCACAGCTAGTAGAGTCACTACAAACTGAGCTTGAATTTAATTGAATTGAAATTTAAGTTATAAAATATAATAGAATATTAAATAAGTTTACAAAACCTAGGCTAGTTTTTAGAAGCAATAAAAAAACCTGCATATTATACATAAACTTTCTAGACCAAAGTTTATATCGCTAGCTCAAATGAAGGCTTATTTTAAAACAAATGATTCTTTTATTTACGTCGTTAGCGAGTGCCAACAAGGCTTATTTATGTAATTTCACTAGCATTTTCCATATAAATGCAAACAATTTGCGCCTAGAACCAGCTTTATTATGACTCATGCCTTCATTTAAGCACTTTTTATTTTACGAATTCATATTCAACTCCCTTTACTTGTTTAAATAGCTCGTTCTTTTAACATCTTTATTTTATCGTCTTTGAAGTTGTTATTTTCTTTTTAGTATAGTTTTTAATGCTCCATTGCTAAGTTAATATCCGCATATGTATGTAAAGATTAGTTTTTATTCTATTATATATGTTGATTTTTATTAAAATGAAAAGTTTGTTTTGTTTACTAAGAAGGCAGTGTTAGCCCAGTGGTAACGTGCTCGCCGGAAACCAAATGAAGTGGGCTCAAATCCCGGGTAACGCAACTCTGATATTTTCATGAGTGAATAATTTCCAATATTATTGCCATTTGTCTTACGGTGAAAGAAAATATCGTGAAGAAACCTGCATGTCTGAGAGAATCTAGCCAAGTTTTGGAAAGACATGTGAAGTCCGCCAACCCGCACTTGGCCAGCTTGGTGGACTATGGCCTGATCCCCCTCGTATTGAAGGAAGGCTCGTGCCCAGCAGTGGAACGTTAAAAAGGGCTAAATAGATACTACGTATAAGTAAAATATTGTCTAAATTTTATTTCCATTTACATTTGTATATTCGAATCTATGTAATGTTATTGTGAAGAATAAAATTAGTTAATACGGCATAGAATTATATGATACAATCTCGTCTAGTAAGCTTTCGTTAAGTTACTCGTACAGTAACATCTTATTGGACCAAAAAGCTTCTTAAGAATCTGTTACCATATAAATAAAGCTTTCTCTTTTTCACTTAAGCTTTTTCATCAAATGTATGCCCAAGGCCAATATTAAATGATCATTCGATATTTTGTTTATAATATTAATAAATCACTGTAGCTCCCGTTGACTCGTTTTCAATTTCCTATTCTGTTTATCGAGCGTTTTGATAAATAGCCGCCGGCAACCAATGTTGGGTTAACATACAACCGCTTTCTTTCACGCTAAATAAATTTGCAATCTGACATATTTGCTTATAAATTACTTTTGTTTATCTTTAGATAGATTGCTACGGTTCTACGTATGTTTTTGTTTGTGCTTTTGAGATTGTTGTATTATTAAAGTTGATATAGATCTTTGTAGGTACATTTGACGCTCTTGTTAATAATAACATAGTATATTTTCTTCGTCTCCTTCTCCTTGTCCTTTTAATTATTAAAATATTTATATGACCATGATTATATTAAAGTTTGAGGGAGAGTGTATGTGGTTGCTATTTGTACATACTATAATACTATGTTTAAAACGTGCGTGTGCACTTTATTTTATTTTTGACCGATTTCAAAAACGGAGGACTACTCAATTAGGGTATGGTTTTTGGAATTTTGTGCAATATTTTTGAAAATTGTTTATTTTTTAAATAAATATCTATAAGATAAAATAAATTTATTTTTACTATAATTACGTGAATTTATATAATTTTTCATATTAAGAAATATACTCAAAATAAAACACTCTATTGATATACTATAGCTATTTAAGAGCATTAATATCTATTAATAAAATAAATAATATATTAGTTACATTTCCTATACATTTTACAACACGTTCTTATTAAATATGTATAGCCAGAAGTCTTTCACTAAATTAGGTACATATTTACAAGAAACCAATAGCAATTTCAGAAGTTTGAAGGCATCTATAAAATTTTGTTTTACAACTCATTTAAGCAAGTAGCATAAATAGCACTAACAGTAGCATCTGTTTTGAAAGTAAATTTATTGTTTATACATTTATTTTCAAACTTAAGAACATGTTCCGTTTGAATCAGTTCTATGTTTAAACAGGATAAACTGACAAACATTTTCAGTTTAATAATATTAGTTAGGATAATTAGTAAACGTATATTCTTGAATGTCCCTATGAAAAGCAAAGCGGTTAGTAGACTCTAATATAGCTAATTCATAATCAGACTAACCCACATGAAAGGTGGAGTATCGAATGCGAAGACCATGGGAAGACTCATTCATTTGTACCGAGTGTTCTCTTCATTAGCCTAATTGCGCTCCTACAAAGGGGAAATGGTGTTTTATAACCACTTTCATCTTTTGTTTCCTAAACATCGTATAGTGGTTCGATTGTTTCGAAACGTTCGTGTATTGAATTTGAATTGTTAATAAGTTTTAATTTGAATGTATGTAGCTGTTTAACAAGAATTCGATAGCATTCTTCTCGTTTTGTAAAGTATAATATAAAATTAAGTAGTATCCAATTGAGGGAAAATAATGTTAAAATATTGATAAAGGCACACCAACTCAAATCATAATATATTAATTATATCACTCTTATGGGTAGAACTTATTTCCTACAGACGACTTGAGGCTTACATTGAAAAATTTTCTTTTAAACAAAAGATCTAACAAAAGTTCAAAACACCTACGTCCAAATTGAGTATCTTAAACTTTTCGATTCATAATATA